TTGAAGTACCCCTTCTTCCCCCCTCCCTTGCTGCCTCTATCTGATAAAGGCAGCAAGGGAGGGGGAAAATCGACTCGACTATCTGATCAGCATTTGCTTATCAGTCAACTAGTCCTTAACATCCTTACTGCTAATTATAACTGTCTAAGCTCCAGCCTCTGGCTAATGCATCTCCTCCATGGTCTAGTTCCTGATTCCCTACTCTGTGTTATGTGATTACATACTGTGCTGACTCAGGAAGGATGAACTTGTAGCTAAATCACAGGCCCAAGGACCATGGGCTGAGAAGGCCTGTCTCAGCCTTATCTCATTATCATTGTTTATTTGTGAGTTCGGGCCTGATTATTTTCTGGACGCTCAGCCCCTGCAGCCTCCATTGGCATCATCACTTGGAGATGCCACGGGGCAAACGGACTGGACTCAGTGGAGTGCCAAGCACAGTGAGTATTAGTGTTTGTTTTTACAGTGTGCCGACCACATTAGACTTAGAATGAGACCGTTCTCCGCCAAACCCAGGTTGGCCGAAGCCAAGGACACCTGGAAGAGCCCACGGAAGAAGCTGTATCCAATGCTGAAATGGATCTAGAAGGATCACCTCGTTCCTGTCTTTTGTGGGACTCGGTCACCATGGTGATAGATGTGGAGTAGAAGAATCAGAATAGAATGGTGGGGGGGGAGGGCTCGGCTGGCATGTGGGGCCATGAGCAGCTGGTCCAGGCTGAAGGGCAGCCTGGAGGAAGGACTGGCGATGGGAAAGGGAGAAGTTCTGGGGCAGGGCTGGCAATCTCCACACCGGGTGCACCAGAAAGGAGCTAAAGGCTTGAAGGCCTGTGCCCCACCACCATCAGCAGCCCCACACTCCTCCACCATCACAGACACAGCAGCCCTGCGGGTGCATTTCCTGAACCGTGCTGTGGGTCGGGTAGCAGCACAAGGAGGGAGATTTAGGAGAAGGGGAGGGAGGGAGGAACCTGCAACATGCCCAGCCAGGGCTGAGCTAGCTGAAGAGACTCCTCTGTTTCACAGGGGCCCCATCCTATGAGCACAGCTCTCACACATGGGCAGGAAACGCCCTCCCTCGCCCAGCACTTCACCCTGTCTCTGGAGAGGTGGAACCCTACAAACCAGGCCCCACCTACAGTTACGGCTTTGGCAGCCTTTCCTCAGCCAGCTGTGCCAGGCTCAGAGGCCAGCAGAAACCTGCCAGCCAGCAGCAGAATCCCCGGCCCATTCTCAGTCCTGGGTCAGAGCTTTGGGGGGCGTGCACAGCCCTGTACGCAAGACAGAGGAGCGCATGGGCATTGCCCCTAGCAGGGGAACCCTGTTGATGCCAGCTTCTGGCCCCTATCCTGGTAATGGCTTAGGGTGACTCTCCATGAGCTCCAGCATTAGAGGAGCGCAGGCTCTGAGCTCAGCCCTGGCTGTTGCTGTGGGCGGCAGTATAATGCGTCACTGTGCTGGTGTCTGTAATCAGTGACACCTCGAATTGCACCTGGAAGCGGAGGCAGACTCAAGGCAGCGCTCACATGGCTGGTGCCAGTGAGCCACTGCTCATTGGCCCGGGTGACCTCAGTCAATGAGGCACATTCAAGCCAAAGCTGGAGATGCCCCACAAATCCGAGCTACACACGGGTTAACCGTGCCCAGGTTCGGCCGCTAGGACTCCAAGCAGATCGCCTGTTCTGGGGCAGGGCCTGTTCTGTCCAGTACAGGGCAGCAACACTCACACCCAAAATACCCAGCCCCAACCTGGCCAAGTCTCCTGGGTAGAGCGCACAGGCGGGGAGGGGGCGTGAAGGGCAAGGAGATGAAGAGCACAGGCTGGGTAGACTGGCTGTTGGGGGGAGATCACAGGCCAGGAGAGTTTCAGATCAGCAAGGGCCGGGAGGATGGGGAGTTAGCTCAGGAAGGAGCAGGACGGGGGAAGAACACAGGCTGTGGGCATTGGGTTGCTAAGGGTTTGCGGGGAAGAAAATCGGCTGGGGTGTCAGATCAGGACAGGCAGGGAGGAGGTTCAAATCAGCAAGGACTGGGAGGATGGGGCGCACAGGCTGGGGGCTGGATCAGAGAGGGCCAAAGGGACGGGAGCAGAGGCTGTTGACGAGGGGACTGATCAGGGAGGGCCATGCCACCCCCTGAAATGAATTTGAAATGTTCGTCCATTTGCCCATGTGTTCTGGAAACGGCTGGGGAAATCTCACACACAAGAAGCAGGATTTACACCCCCCAGCACAGCCACTGCTCTGCAAACAACCCCTAACCGTATCAAATCTGTGAGCTGGCACGGACATTCAGCAACACCGAGCCGGTTCGTTACAACGCACAGAAAAGAGCAGGTCTGATTCCCCCCCTACCCACTCCTGGCTCACACACACTGGCTGGTACGTTACGCTGGAAGGGTGGGGTGTCCAGCGTCACTACGTTCCCAGCGACCTGTGCCCCGCACCCAGCCCGGTCACATTACACCTGCTCCCGCCCACGGTTATTGCACATGCCAGCAGGTGAGCGGCTCTGATCCAGATGGATCATTTAGTTAGTTCCCTTTCGTCAGCCCTCCCCCTCCGCCCCAGCCCAGGGGCTGCAATGAATGTGACAGTGCCCAGATCGGGCCTGAAGCTGGCATTTCTATTTAAAACCCCAGCCTCTGATTGCCTCGGACCAGCCTGAGCTGTAGTTAGACTTTTCCACTTGACACTGCCGCTGGCGGAGGCAACAGCTACATAGGGATAATGCGGCTTGCCCTAGCCCCGGAAAAGGCCACGCATCTGCCTGGAGCAGCTTGACCCTGCTTGGCCTGACAGTGGGTGATACTGGGGGGGGAGGCATGACAGTGGCATGACTCAGCATGACCCCACGTGGCGGGGCATGACAAAGTGTGGAAATGGCATGACACTGGCGTGACTCGGCATGACCCCACGTGGCGGGGCATGACGAAGTGTGGCAATGGCATGACACTGGTGTGACGTGACATGACCCCCCATGGCAGAGACATGATCAAACGCAGCAAAGCTGGGACACAGTGTGACTCCAGGCAGCAGAGGCAGGACAATGTGTGTCAATGGTGTGAAACTGGCGTGACCCCATGTGGCAGAGGCATGACACTGCCAGGACCCCACGCGGCCTTGGCATGATGCCGGCGGACACGGGGTCTGAGCGCGCGGGCTCCAGGCGGGGCCCAGGCAGGCGAGGAGCGAGCGCCCTCTGGCGGGCCCGCGCGGAAGCC